TGCTCTAACCAGATCACCTTGATCCGTGTTAATTAGCTAATTATTCCACTCCTGCTTTCCTATATAAAGCCGAGGTGCCGCTTTAACAGGACTTCATCATTTTTTCACTTTGCCCCGGATTTTCACTGGCACGACTGTTTGCACTCTTCACATCTCTTTGCTGTGCTAGACGGTCTTTCCTCTGCAAGTAAGCTGCAGCCACATGTCTGCCCTGAGACCCGTTCAGTCCGCTTCTTTCAGGACGCTCGCTATGTGGGTTTTCTCCGAACTCGAACCTCCCTTTATTTTCTCAGATTCACGGGCTGCGTGGCAGATTTTTTCCTCAAGCCTCCAGCCTTGCCCGGCGCATCAAGCCAGCCTTCGCTCTGCGCGGCAGTCTCTGCAGCCTCAAGTCTGCGCTTCTAAGCCGTTTCCCAGGAGGCATGCCACTCGGACTGACAGTGGGGTTTCTTCTGTACACAAGCCTCTCCATTTCCAACGGCGCGTTGGGTTGGGCAGGAGTTCTTGTCACGAAGCGTTCTTTCAGGACCCTGTGCAGACAGCACAATCCAGGGAGGAGCGAGGAACACACCGGGGAAAAGGCATGCAAAGGGGCTGGAAGGAAAACAGGGGGCGTGTCCAAGTGGCGCTGGTGTTCGGGGCGGGGGGGTGTCGGAGGCAAACAAGTCCAATGGAGGCCGTAGCGAATCCAAGAATGATCCAATGTCCAAAACCGGGAGATCCATCCAGACACAGACAAACAGAGTTAAAAGCCAGAGTCGGATCCGGCGGAGGGTCCGGGGAATAAAAGGAGGGTCACGGGACCAGTTGTTCCCAATCCCGAACCCAGAAGGTCAGGACACTGTGGTGCAGCCGATGCCGTCGAGTCGCTCCTGGACTCGCGGGTAGGCGGGCTTCCAGGCGTCCATCTTCCAAAGCTGAGCCCAGATTGGCAGGAACGTCTGGCTTTTATAGCACGGGAGGCAGGAACCGGAGGGAGGTGCAGGAGATAAACACTAAACAAGGAAGGGCTGGAGTGTCCTTAAGAGGAGGGGTTTACAATCGTGACAGTTCTGGCTTCTAGCCTCTGTGCTTGAGCCTCTGCTCCAGCATCGCCCGGCCCAGCAGCTTCAGCTCCTGGCCTGCACCCTGCATCAGCTGAAGGAGCAAGCTCAGATTGTAGCCAGCACTCTACTCCACTCTTTCTACCTTCACTGCTCAGCACGTCAACCCTCCAGTTTGCCGGTCTGCACCCCTGGCACTCAGAAGGCGGCCCTTCTTGGCCCGTTCGGTTTTTTTTTCAGGGGTCTTGCTATTCGAGTCTTTCTGTACCCGAAAGACTCAAGAAAAAGGCAGCCTGTTGGAAAAGATGCAAGATCATTATGCTGATTTGCTCCCCCGGCCAGTAATGAATTATCTCATTCTCACCTTTCACTTGTCACTCTCCGGTCTCTTGCACTTGGGTTCTGAGAAATCCACACCTGTGTGGCCGTATGCAGCCGTGACATTACACCGTATCGGTGTTAGCTGAAGAGCCAAAGCCTTTCAAGTCTCTAATCATATTTCTCAACCAGAAAAACAGCCGGCGCCGTACTGCCTTCAGCAATTCTGTCATTTTAATGTTTCTTCAGAAGTAACACATTTTCTTTAAAGCCAGTTTTCGAAATTTAAGGCTATACACTTGTAGAAACATTAAAATCCGGGTGTTGGTGAAAGAAGAGCTGTTTATTCGTATGCATATGGGAGATAAGCTTGTAAAAGCTAGTCTCTCTGAAAGATGTTGCTCAGCGCTTTTTATACACAGTAACAGACAAACTTCCTACGTTTAACAAAGATTACCTTATCCCTAAAATGAACCATTAGTTCTTAGTCAAGCTTGGATAACGGAAAACAACTCCTTATTGAGACTTTCGTTACTGCTTACATTTGCAACACAAGACATTCTACTTCCCTTTTTACTATATTTAAGACATGAGCTGTACTTCTCCACTGACCTATACAGTAGGTGCCCCCCTCGTATGTTCCCATTTGCCAATGTTATAAGCAGTTAGAAAACAATAAGATAAGCAGTTTTTAGTTTTTATCAAATTTATAACATTCCCTCACACTATAGTAAGTATACTATAGTATATTGTGCTCGCTCCATTAGATATCCCGAGCGTTCACCCTGAAATAAACCATTCAAGTTCAGAACAGAAATATTTGGTAAAGAACAAGTAGATCTTGATTGAAAGCCGAAGTACAGAAAGTGGTTGAGCCTTCTTCACTTGGGCTAATTCCGTATGTGGAATGAACGTCTGCTGCAGCGGTGTCGTATCGAATTCGGTATGCAGAGAAGGGTCTCCCTGTGTGTCTCGGAACCAGCTGGCCCGATCAGGCCCAGAGGTCTGCTGGTTGTGTGAGTGGAAGTTCTTTCGGGAGGCGGCGGCCACGAAATGTGCAGGGGATACCAGATTCCACACTGCGGAGAAGCCTATCCCTGGGGTATTGCACGAGTGAGTGTGGCTTCTGTGGGAGACAGACAGATAGTGCCTTCAGAGAGTATTCACTCCCTTGAGTTTTTTCACATTTTGTTCCTGTTCCACCTCCAAATTTGAACACATTGAAATTTTTTCTCCCTTTAATAGCACAATTAATTCAACACATTTATGAATCAAAAAATATTTATTCAAGAACATTCATTTCTCCAGTATGAAAGACTTACATTTCTCATTTACAAAAGTATCCCCCCCCCCCAGAGTCAATACTTTGTACATAGTCCTTTAGCAGCAATCACAGCCCTGAGTCTTCCTGAGTATGTCTGCATGAGCTTTGCACATTTCGATTTTTCAATGCAAAGTTGCTCCATCTCTACCAAATTAGGTGGAGAGCATCAGTGGACAGCAATTTCAGGTCATACCACTGATTTTCAGTTGGAATCCAGTCTGGGCTTTGGCTGGGCCATTCCAGAATACTAACCTTCTTTTTTATAGTTTTTTGCTGTGTGCCCTGGGTCATTGTCCTGGTGGAAAATGAATCTTTGCCCTAAACGCCGACCTCTGGCTGACAAACAGGTTCAAGGATTTGCCTGTATTTGGCTCAATCCATGTTGCCCTTGGCAACAAGCTTTCCAGATCCTCCTGCTGAAAAGCAACCCCAGAGCATGATGCTGCCACCACCATGCTTGATGGTAGGGATGGTGTTACCTGGGTGGTGGGCTGTATTTGGTTGGCGCCAAACATAGCACTTTGCTTTCAGGCCAAGGAGCTCAACTTTAGTCTCATCAGACCACAAAATGTTCTTCCAGAAGGTCTCAGGTTTTGTCACATGGCTTCTAGCAAACTCCAGGTGTGACTTAATGTTGGCCATTCTCAGAAGCGGCTTCCTTCTAGCCACTCTCCCAAAGAAGCTGAATCTGTGAAGTGCTGAAGAGATTGTTGATGTCTGGACAGTTCCTCCCATTTCAGACAAAGAGCTCTGTAACTCTGTCAGTGTTGTAGCTGACATCTTGGTCACTTCTCTGACAATCGCCCTTCTAGTCCGGTTGCTCAATTTGGTACGATGGCCTGATCTTAGTAGTGTCTGGGTTGTGCCATGTTCTTTTCCATTTTGTTACAATGGACTTCACAGTGCTCACAGGAAGGTTCAAAGCTTTGCCAATCTTTTTATAACCTTCTCCAGCTTTTTTCCTCCTAACAACTTCATCACGAAGTTCCACAGGCAGCTCCTTGGTCTTCATGACAGCAGGACTGATGTGATCTTCTGTTTTAATGGTAAGACCTCACAGTCAGTGATATTTATTGTGCAATTGAACACAGGTGGATTCGAAATGAACACAGGGTGTACCTTGTTAACATATTTAGTTTGATCTCAAGATAATTGAATACCTCACCCAATTTAGGTTGTTAAAACAAAGAGGGTGAATACTTATCAATTAAGTAATTTTCAGATTTTAATTTTGAATATAATTCTGAAGACATATAAACACTTTGTCATTTTAACATTATAGAGAATTACTTCTACAGGAGTGAAAAAACATCCCATTTAAATATGCTTTAATTTGTCTTTGCAACAGCAGAACGAGAATTAATCAGTGGGGGAGGTGAATACTTTCTGAAGGCACTGTATATAAGGGGATACTTTTCTGAGCAGATAACGTGGCTAAGGTGAATTTTTCTGCCTACCGATAAAATATGTCAGGCAAAGAAAACACGAAAGCAAACTGTCTTTTCATGTTTATTTTGGGTCCTCTCCATAACATAGTTTGTGTAAGGCACATTAAGACAAAATTAACAAGAAGACGTAATTGCTGATTAACACCTCATTTCTCATAATTGCAATACTTATGTACTTATACAGTACCTCCTGGGAAAAACTAAGGTGTTAGTGGGGCCAGCAGGGGGCGCTCACCCTGCGGTCCATGTGGGTCCTTATGCCCCAGTATAGTGACGGGGACACTATACTGTAACTATACAGGTGCCGTCCTTCGGATGAGACGTCAAACCGAGGTCCTGACTCTCTGTGGTCATTAAAAATCCCAGGGTGTGTCCTGGAGTGTCCAGAAAGGCGCTATATAACTGTAAGCAATTATTATTAT